ATCAATAGTTAGGTATAATGGATCAATTCACCAACGTGAGCTCATCATTAACTAATTCCTCATGCAGGAACTGAAGTCGTTTCCAGCAGCACGGTTCCACATAGTTATGTAGCCTCTTAAGTTTTAAATAAGAGCTCAATTCTTTTGAGCTCAGAGTGTCAAGCGTGAAATCTTATAGTAATGAGATCTTTTTCCATATTAAGGACGTAATTTTTTTCTTATAAACAAAAATTTATGTGAAGTATCTCAACTCGCTTTACGAGAGCTTAATATGAATGAGGCACAAACCATCCTCACCTGAAGGCGACAGAACTTCGTATTTCGTCACCAGCCTCCGATATTGAGCAGCGTACCGGTGGATAATATACGTGTTGCGTCCAATAACACTTTGCCAGGAACTGTCTATCCGCAAGCTGAATGCAAAAGACTTTGAAAGAACTATCAACAACGAAAATATGCCTTCATCCGGCAGTGTATAAATGACATAAAAGGCATAAGAGCAGGTTAGAAGACCAATATAATTTGTTAATGAGCAGTGTTACAATTCTATAAAATCGGAGCAGCCAAGTTAGCTTAAATAACTGAACCTACACGTCAATTTTGATTTTGCCAGGCGATCAATGAAGGTTTAAGCTGGACACGTTGTACTGTATCAGGAGTCACACTTCCAAGCCTACAGGGAGTACACAAGATATCTCATTATATACAGTATCTCGATAAATGTTCGGCCGTAATACTCACTCCTCGTATGGCGTGAAATTGTGCACACCAAACTGCAGTAGCAAGAGTGCAGGAATCTGGGATGAAACACGAATAAACTCCCTGCAGGCACTCGTTAGCATAGATGACCTGAGGCAGACATGAGAATAATTGTTTAGTGTAGTTCGACGTTTTCAACAATTAAGGGGAGCGTCTGGGTCCAAAATAAAAATTTTCTGCTTTTTCGGTTCTTATGCTCATCTTAAAGCTTACATTATGCCGCATCGAACGGTACTAGAACTATCTGTACGTTGATTTATGCGTTCACGACAGATCCTGAAAGGGGGAGGGTGGTGGAGTCCCTTAACAAAAGTCAAGGGGGATAATTCCGGCCAGGCACTATTAAATGTGCTATCACTGGACCTGCAGCTCAGTTACCACTCAGCCATCATGTGGGAAGGTGTTTATGTAGTCGTCCTATGCACCGCTGACTGACTTTGAAGTGAGATAACGCTTACTTTCGGTATCTAAGCTACGTTACCTACCTTTACATAGCGCGCGGCGGTTTTTCGCCTCTACTGAAAAGTTGGTAAACTGAAAACCTCACTCACGGCAAACCTATCTCCTCCTACAGTTTTTAAAGCTACAACAATGAGACATATACCATTCGATTTGCAAGAAAAATATATACAAATGATAGTAGACTTTTTTCTGATTTTTTATAGTTTGGATTTTATTTTGCAAAAAGGGGGAGTGGCGGGGGAAAAATCGAAAAATTTCCGAAAAATATACAAAAAATGCCTATACACACACAAAAATTAGAATTTAAAAAACGCCTACTAGCGTTTGTAGATATGGTCTTTACGCATCGAATGATATGTGTCTCGATGTTGCAGCTTGGAAATCCTAGGAGGGTATAGATTTCTACAGTACCCCCATTTTTGGCAGTTTTCTAATCTCGTTTTCTTTCATTTTTTTCGAAAAATTCACATGAACAAAAAGTCTTAAAATTTCTGTTTTACATACGTGTACGAAATTTCGAAGTGATTGGTCTGTAAATTACCGAGTTACAAAAAGACCCAGACGCTCCCCCCCCCAAAAAAGTGTGTGAGCATCAAAAATCATAAAATTTCCAGTTCAAAATTAGTTGAACTGGAAAAAATTTCTCTCTGACCAGAAGCCCTTATACAGCAGCATAATCAACTGAATGTTTTGGCAGAGCGCATGTTCAGTCAAATAATGCCCACCCCCAACACACCTGAACCAACACGGGCCGTTCCGGCAGCAGTTTTTAGTTAGTTCTGCAAGCAAAATTCGATATCCAGACTCCGATCCGTGCACGATATTTTCCATGAAATTGGCATCGTACAACTTTTCATAGAGACGCTTGCTAATGCGAGTGTTAGTCACAAGTGCTGCCACAGATACGGCCGTGAGCTGAAAACCTGAAGAGATCACATATTGTCAATCATGTATAGAGAATATTTAGGATGTATTGGAACAAAAAATCAAAATTATAAATTTAGTTGAGGATGGAAAAAAATAAGAGAGGCAAAATAAGAGAGGCAATCAACCTAACTCCCGGCTAACGCCGCGAAGTGGTAGTGCAGCTGAAGACGAAATCTAGTCTTTGAAGCGAACAATAAGCCATATGATAACATAAAATAGTGATGTCGGTGCTGAAGAATAGGCCAGATGTGGCCTGTCGTCGATTCCTGTTTTTCGAGACATTTCATAGGAAATGTAAAAACATGTCCTTTGACCGGATCTTTTCATAACTGACGATAGTTTGAAATAGCTACTAGACTTCCACCAAGTTCTATAAGGTGCTAGGCATTTCAAGTCTGAACAAATATTTCTCCATAGCTTTATCTGGTCTGTCCTTGAACGCATTCATACTCGGAGCGTCAACGAGGTAATCAGGGAGGCTGTTCTACTTGTCGGTGACTCGAAGCGAGAAGAAATGTCGCGTGGATAAGGTGCAGCGCATTTTTTAGTTTTTAGCCGTGGCCCCCTGGTGTTGGTTCTTGTTTTAAATTCTAGCAATCCCTCTGGGACTTTTTTATAAACCATGAGTATACTTGTATACTTCAGTGAGGTAATCACGCAGACGTCGATATAAGAGGCTTGGAAGCTGCATTATCTCTAAGCTTTCTTCATAGGACATGCTCCTCAAGCCTGGAATTATCCTCGTTGCACGTCTTTGAACACTCTCCACTAAATTTTTGTCCTCAAATTTCGGTGACCACACGGCGTTTCTAAACTCTAGATTCGGGCGCACAATAGCGACGAACGACAGCTTCGTCGCTTCTGCATCCAAGAACACGTAGGAGCGTCTGATCAGCCCAAGAAGTTTATTCGATTTATTGGCTTGCGTTTCAATATACCTGGAAAATTTCAGCTTCTTGTCGACATAAACTATCAAATATTTTTCTACGCTAGACTTCAATCATTACTCACTCATTGCAACCATGTCTTCTCATACTATAATCTTGCTCTTCATTGTTATTCTCGGGGCGCATGCCAGAGGCCAGTTTTGCCAAACTTCACACTTAGTTCATATTTCTTTCCGTAGCTTTTAAGCACGCTAGAGGGCATAACAGCCTATGAAGTCAAGTGCACTAAGCCGGAGCTCCGGATATCTGCAAAATACGCTTGCTAAAAGTAAGCAAGGCCATACTGCATCTGGCCACACCTCTCCCGGCCTAATCTCTTCAGGCATAACATTCACAAGTTGTAACATTTCTCCACTCAAAACAAACCTGAGCCGACCTAAGCTAACCTTATTGGCTACAGAAAATTAGAAAGGCGGTCCAAGTGTGCTGGTAGAGCCATTTATTGGCTGCAAGAAGGTTGTGAGCCGGGACAGCGTGAATAGGTTAGGCCCGAGTAGGTACAGCCAGATGGGGAACTGCCTGTTTATGAGCGAGCATGCTTAAGCAGTGGCTGAAGACCTACGGCGCTATTATCTTTCGGCAGTGTGTCACTTGTCTGGATTACGGAGTTCAAGCGTAGTCTGCGGCTTCTAGCTCTGAGGCTGAGTAAACTTAATGCATGGTGAAGCGAGGCGTTGGCTCCAGGGCTTATTTTAAGAGTAAAATTTTTGGCCTACGGCTGCGACCCCGTTATTCCCGAGGTGAAGTACTTTACACTTGTCAGCATTAAAACGCAGCTGTCACGTATCAGCCCAGTTAAGTAAACTATCAGATCATCTCGAACTTTCACTTCTTGACGTATCCTTAACTGTATTACAGGTATAAACTTTTGGGTCATCGGCATACATGCAGCACCCCCACATCGGTATCCGCTTATATAAGCAACTAACTAAAGAGGCTCAAGAACGCTTCCTTGTGGGACGCCACTGTGCACTAATGCCCAGTCTGACACGGTTCCGTTAATACTGACACGTTGTCGTTTACCCACTGGAAAATCTCTGATCCAATGGAGTAAGTTTCCCTCTATTCCCAAAGACTTCACTTTACGCAACAGCTGCTCATGCGGAACACTGTCAAATTCTTTGGCAAAATCGAGGTGCACTGGCTTCCTTTCGCCTAGCAGGCGAGTGCAATCGTTCAACGTAGACAAGAGGTTAGTGCTGCAGGATCTACCGGAAATAAAGCCATGTTGACAGTCTGATGGAGATGGTTAACAGTCAGAGGATCGATTATCTATCCCTCACAACAGATTCCATTACCTTACAAACAACACTTGTCAGACTGACAGGGCGATAGTAAACGGGGCTACTTATGTCACTTTTTTTGAACAGTGGTTTCACTTGGGCTTCTTTTCAATCGGTCTGCAAAGTCTCTTCAAATCCGTTCAAGGTCTTTTTGAGAGAATACTGTCAAAAGGCCAGCCAGGGCGGCTGCTAATTCTTGGAGCAATCTCGAGTGGAAGCCGGCTGGTGCACATGAGTTGGGATTTAGAGCGACCAGGCGCTTAAGAACCTCTTCTTCGTGTATTTAAAAACATTTTAACTTCTAGCCGACTGGGCGCTCATCAGTATCTGGAATACTGTTCAAGTCCTCATCTATGAACACACTGCTAAAGAACTGATTAAGATCGTTAGACTTGCCCTCGTCATAAGATATCTTTCGTTCGTCTACTTTCAAATCAGACATACCGTCGTTTGTCTTACACTTCGAACTAGCGTACAAAAAGAAGGTTTTCGCGTTTTTTATATTTTTTGGTAATATTTTTTTTCGAAGGTTTTCACTGCGGTGCGACAGATTTGTTTAGCGTGATTTCGAGCTCTTGCAAAGAGGCTATACTCAGCATAGCTGCGAGTTCGTAAATAACGTTTTTGGCTTCCTTCTTGGTGTTTAGCTTCTTTACTATATTATATTAGGGTGGAGCGTTATTTCAAACTTTTCGGAGTTCGATTTCACCATAGCGCGGAAAAGTTGTAGATGTCCGAAAAAATTCTTGGTTAAGTGCCGATTCTGCTGTAGGGTTCTGCTTTCCAAGGTTAAATGCTCACAGTTAACTAATAGAGTTAGGCTCAAGTTGCTGTTCACAGGTTTAAACTGGCGGTTATTAAAAGTGGTTCGTTTATGCAAACGGTCATGATGGGCTCTTCCTCATACTCATATAAATGCTAAATTTTAGCTATAAAAAGGGAAACCTTGTCCAACAGGGCAACGCTTGGAGACGTCACGTTGTAGGAGAGTTACAAGCTATTGGAATGATTGGAATAAGATTGAAAAAGTTACAGGACCATAAATCCCTAGTGTACCTTTCTGTTCCAATAGTGGCAGCAGCTTCATGAAGAGTGGAATACTGCAAAAATCCGTTTGGTTTAGCAAGGCATTCAGCACGTTGAGGCTACTCTTCTTGAGTGCAGGGCTTACCAGCCGTCAGTAGGTGCACGAGCAAAATATAATTTTAAAAATAAATTAAAAAATAAAACTCAGCAAACTTACTTCAAACATATTCCATTATAAACCTTTACCTTTAAATTGAGAGTAAAGGTAATAGACCCTAATTATCATCTTCCATTATCCTTGAAACTCAATCGTTTGGCCTGATGTTATCATGGTAACTTCATAACAGAAGGGATATTCTTGACAAATTTCGCTATTTTACAAGATGAACGGTGACGAGTAGTGTCAAATGAGCTTTATAAAGCCAAAACATTGTTATAAATCACGTCCAACGTCGAACTTGAACTAAAAAGGAAGATACAGTGACACGCAAAAATATTGGATACATTACAGCTTTCTTTATATCTCGAGTTTAATGCACGACTTTTCATAATATTTGGTCAGTATGTTGCTATTGTTACTAGAAAAATTATATAGGAAGAATATTGAAAAGTAAGCAGTGTTTAGATTTCAATTAACAAATAGAGAAATCAACCCGCGCAAAAGTATTGGGTACATGTTCAAAAATGAACAAAAATATCTTTTTCTCCAAGTACTTAAATTTTGCTTTTCACTTTAGACATTCCACTAATCTCATGTCGTTATCTAATTGGCCAATCAGATCAGTTTGCTATTGTTTACAAGATTTTGCGTTTCGGTGAAGATAATATTCAGCTTCATATTCTTCAGCTGTAATGTATATAATACTTTTGCGTGTCACTGTATCTTTTGTGAACACCGGAATTGAATGAAATATTACCCATAGATGTCAAGCGTTAAAATAGGAATAGAATTTTGCAATAATCTTATATTTTTGGACCTGTGATTAATTATTAATCTCATAACCTGCACTCAGTGACATAGCATGAGCCAGGTAATTACGTCTCGATAACCGTGCAAGTGATACTTACTTAAACACTCTGCACTCTGCTTCGTTCAAATTCCAAATCTCAATCGGCAGACCGTTGTTCTCCGCTATTTCCATTATTTGTTTAAGCATATCCAGCCTGGTAAAATATAAAAAAATCATGTTCCTTCCTGGAAATGCATTTTCCATAGTCAATGGTGATTGCACCTATTGTTTCATACATAGATCCGAAAAAAAACAAGTCAGATATCACCGAATACGGCCATGCACAAACTCGAATCCTGGTCATGTAAATGAAATATGGGCTTACTGTATTTTAAGAAATGGTCCTTCTGGAGAAACATCCCAGCCGCAGCCACCTTGGCAAAATCCGGGCATTTTTTGGCAGTACCTGAAAACATGATAAATGTATTTATTTTGCTAAATTATTCCTGCATAGAGACTCGTGAATAATTTCTTCTCATCAAAGGCAACACAAGTCAAAAGTTATATCCAGCGAAAAATATCGATTTAAATATTAAAAACATCATCGTGCAGCGAAAAAATATTGAATGGTTTGCTAATGGGCGAATACAACCGATGTTCTGCAATTTCGTAAACTTGCTGATCAGCAGAAACTTACTGGAAAGATCGCAAGAAAAGCTGGAACAGCAGTTCTTCTTTTTTCTCTGCATTTCGGACGATGTAGTTAGTCACTGTAGTCACGTATCTGGTGAGAATTCAGACGAGGGCATTCAAAGGACGCTTATCATATTCATCGGACAGATTGATATTCAGGCCAAGGTAGCAAAAGGACGAGACAGCAAAGAAATTACGCATTGACATCGCAAACGAGAAATTTATTAGAACTTACTTCACCCTGCAATTCCAGTTCGTTGTTCTATCCTGAAAGATTTTCGCGAAGATACTTCTAAGATTGAAATTTGATATAATAAAGTTTTCGAAGAGGTAGAATGAGCAGCTAGGGTCCGGGAACGACATGGTTTCACTTAGCAGAGTCTCTGTGACGAAGCCCCTGGAGAAGAATTCAAGTGAACAATGTAAAAAAATATTAATCCATCATATTTATAACTAAAACGCTTGCTCCACATTGTCTGATCACCTGCTTCTATACTTTGATAATTAGCTACTTCATCACTCACGGCCCAAAATCGTGCTCTGCAAATACCATCTGCTTCAGCTGGGCTTCGCTATAGCGTTTTTCTTTAATCCAAAGGCCGACCATTTCATTTTCACACCCTCCTTTAACCAGTCTTCGCAGTATCTCAACGTTATCCTGAAAATCAAAAGGACTACACATAGACATTGCGGAAGTAGTGAAAAAAATAATTACGATTCTTCAAACTATTAAAATAAAAACTGTAGACTCCTGCGTGTCGGAATAAAGTTCTCGAAATGAGCCGGGATAACGAGGCATGACGAAAACTTGAAAAAAGTAACGAGACAGAAGAAAAAATTTGTCTCGGAATAATGGTATGAACTGAGACAATACTTGTATCCCGGTCTTTATGAAACGATACGAGATAGATGTTTTTCTATTACGAACAGAAACAAAAAGAAACATTCTTAGTGTTCGGATTAATTAATACAGAGTTAGCCCTCGATTGCTAACAGACAGTTACCAGTCATTGGCTGATTTGGCTACATTTGGCTGTTTAACCAAATTGCTGTGAAATTAGTGGGATAACTTGGCGATGTATGGCTGAATATCGAGTGAATGTTACTGTAAGGCCCTTAATCACAGCTGACGACAACCGTACGACTTCCGCACGCATTCAGACAAGCAATGTCATCGCGTGTCAGTGATGCAGGTTTTTTGGCCAGCCGCTTAGTTGAGTACGGAAGGTCTTTTCAGGCCCTGCAAGATGCCACGAATTTAACGTGGTATCTGGGAGTTTTTTTGTAAGAGCAGAGAAAAGGCAAGAATTAACTGAGGAATAAACCAGGCCAATATTCAGTGCAAACTTTGCGGCAATGTTTACAAGTTCAATGATATCAACAATCGGGCATGTGTAGATGCTTACTTCGCGCCCATATTCTTAATTTCAGAAGCTGCAGAAACATAAATCTCAGTTATTAAATTGTTCAGCAACAATTTTTCAAAAGAAGCATAGTTGTTCAGCAAGTGGACGACTGCTTCACTGTTCGAAAACTCCCCGTGAAACGATCTTACCGGCATTTTCGTAGCCGGCAGGCACGCGAAAAAAAACCGTGTCGCCGTTTTTTTAATTCAACAGAGGGACCCATACAAGATTAAAAAAACAGCAAAATACTTTATTTTCACAGAGTGGCCAGCCACTAGAACGCCGGCTACGCCGTTTTTCTCGGTTATCTTCAACAGTGTTATTGAAATTATACAGCATGAAAGTGGGTACAAGACGGGCATCTGCTGGCCGCTACTCGCTACTAACCCCTGAAACAGGCAGTACACGAGGCCACCAGCCCGATAATAAGTGGTGGCCACAACAGGCAGCGTGACAACGCACATTATTAGTCAGACATTTGGGAGTGTGTGGACGGACTTAATCCGGCTTTTTAAATTTGCTCGCATTTGCAGTGTGGGCATTCGCGAAATCATTTACGAAGTAAAATGCCTTAAACCTTATAAACAGAAAAAATGTCGTTCAGCAGATAATATCTGTAACAACTTCTTATTTAAATTTCAAACTCATTGTGTCTCGTTTAAAAAAATTCGAATTCAGGAAAATTTTAAAGCTCTTATTTAAACCGAAACTTTTCGTATCGTCTCAGTAGGTACAGTTCCTGAATTCCCACTGAGTGCTGAAAATTGTCCCGATTTTTGTCACTAATTCGAACAGACTGTTATGTCTAGTCTCGTTTCGAAGAGAAAAATTACCAGAAGCAGGAGTCTGATTAAAAACAGCAATAAAAGTGCTATAGAAATGTGTTTGCCATCAAAATTACTAGGAATCACGAGTGGGAGGAAATCAAAGGAATTTCAAATCATTTCAACACGGTATTGCTGTAAAAATCCTAATGATTGAGCTTTCCATATATTATATTAGAATGGAATTTTAGTCTGAAAACAAAAAGCTCCAGGAATAGATGGACCAGTCAAATAAAAAACACACTCAAGTGATTAGGGGCTTGATAAAGGTAAACGTCGTTCACTATTTGATTTACTTTCTTGTTCACTATTTAACCTCACAAACTGGAAGTAGCTCGCACACTGGCAAAGAATGTGGCTGGTTGCTGATCGTGCTCCGAGTCCGTTGCCTTGGGGTTCGCTCCCGCATCCAGCAGCAGCTCAGCGCCCCGCCACCAATGCCTCTCCAGAGCTAGACAATGGTTGCATAAGGTAATGAGTTGCTTCTTTCACTGGTAGCATAGACATGCACAGTTAACGGAGCTTTCTTGCGAATAGTTTGAGCATGAATTATTTGTTGATTTTTATATACTAGACGATTTATGTTCCGTTATTATCTTGCCAAATATTTCACAGAAAAACTGTCTCCAAAAACGATAACACAAAGAAAAATCAGAAAGAAATACAGGCAGACGTACCGCATAAAAGGGGCAAGGAAATAGGATCCTGTTGCGGCAGGTTAGGGTTAGCACCTGCTTCGAGGAGGCTCAACAAAATCTCTTCCTGAAAAAAGTATATTGAATTTAACTGATGGTAACGCAACAGGAGAAAACGAGAAGAGCCCAGGCTCGCAATTCAAGTCACTAAATTATCGCAAGTAGGACTACGAGTTGGAGAGGCAACGAGCTTTCAACTCTATAATCACAAAGATGTCTCACTGATCACAGTATTTTTATAAGTTTAAAGTTGTTAGGAATTATCTGCAATGTAATGGAAAAAGTAAGTTTTTCAAGCATGAGGAGATTCGGGACGACGTGATTCGGGACGACGTGATTCGGGATGACGGGATTCGGGACGACGTGATTCGGGATGACGGGATTCGGGACGACGGGATTCGAGATGACGGGATCAGATTGCAGGGAATATCGATCACGGGCAACGATAGGCTGACCGGCTATTCTGCAAATAATTTGCATGCTTTTGACATAAGAGAATTACTTATTACATAGCAAACATATAGTCAAGTTGAAAGGAGGCAGCATAAACTCCAAAAAAGAGTTTGTGGGCAGCAATTGCGATATGGATCTACAAATATGGAAATTGCCAAATGCAGATAAAAACCTCTATACGGGGACCACTCGCTGCCGTTGACACTGATGACGAGGTGAACCTTCTACACAGGAGCAGAAGTGCAGTGGATCGGTCACGGGATTCTTGGTTGATGCACCTATCATCTACAATGAACATAGGCGGAGAGTAACACGTTAGCTGACAATCTAAGTTTCTCATAGGAAATTAGCTCATCAATTAATTGGTTAAATACCAGTTCAGCTCTCCAGTGCTACCAACCGATAATGAGAAGCGTATGTGATATCAATTTGACATAATATAAATGGAACATAGATTGTGCTGAGAGGTTTGGGGGTCGAAAACCATTGAGCGATTGAAGGCAGGATGTGGCTTGACCACAAGGAGAGGATGACAACGTTGAAGAGTTACGAGTATATCAACCAAGGATGATATACTACGGAGAAAGAAAGGATTTAATGTACGTAGCTATAAAAATGGTTGGCTTGTCAACCTCCACTTAATTTTGAATCAAAAAGTCATGAAGATATTATTTCAGTGAATGATCAGAAGACTCTTCGATACGAATATCAACATTTGCTTGTAAATTATAGCTCAAAAGGAAAAGAAATTAGCTGGCATAAACTCAATTGAATTTTTTTCCCAAAAACCAATGTTTATCACAATTACTTATTATGCCTATGTTGAATTTTTGACAAAATTCTATCACAATTCACCGTATTGCAAGTAAATCAATAGTTTTATATAGCTTCGGCACACTCAAAACGTCTACGTAACTCCACTTACAACACCTCCGAGCAGGCGTAGAGCTACGTACGGCTTCTTGTACGTAGCTTCCCGCGCAAATATTTTGATAATACCACCGCTAGAGTTACGTCTTCATATCAGCACTTACGCCACACTTAAGTCGCTACGTGTACTTTGCGATGTTTAGATAATCCGGCCCCTGGGCCATATCTTATGATTGGCTATATTACTTGTATTTTGGTTCCATGGCTATATGCAGTACTTCGCTCAATAGCATCATTTAAATATTTAGCTTCACGTAAACTTGAAATTCAATAACGAGTCAATGTATTAGGTAACAAGTTTACAACACTTGCAGCGTGACCGCCTTACTTGGCAATAGCAACTTAAAACGTCATTTCAATAATCTTTAAATAATATACCAAGTCATTTCAAACTATCATTGATGTGGCGGAAGCCAAAAAAAAAAAAATAGAAACACAACGAATCGAAATTGTTCCTCCATTATTGTAAAATTACCTGCATATGGAAGAAGTTTCCTTAACATTTCGAGATCAGTAGCCAGAACTGCATGATGAAGAGCAGTGTAGCCATGCTCATCCGTTGTCAAGAGGCTATGTGCAATATTATCACGACAATCTGACTGTGAAGCCATTGCTTTCTGAAACAAAGAAATATTTTCATTTTAAGGGGACCGTCTAACCTAAAATTTTCAATTTTGGCTTTTCCGGTTTTTGAGCTCATCTTAAAGCTGAAATTCTGCTCTTTCCAATGGTACCACTGCCATCGCTGTACGCCAATATTTACGTTCATGACGTCTCTTTAAAGGGAAGCGGGTGGCAGAATTTTACGTTTGAATGTGAAGTTTCATGATGATCGGATAATAACTTTAGGAGTTATAGGCTATCTCCAATTTAGGTTAGACGGTCCCCTTAAATTTACGAAACTGGTTTCTTTACACATGATACCAGCACGTTAGCCCGGCGTGGTCTGGGCTTGATAATCCTGTACTTATTAAATCAAAATACGACCATCCACATAACCCTTAGTCCGATAAATGATAAAGCATACTTATTCTAACTAAATTAAGTCCCCTTCAAACATATTAGATAGAAGACAGTATTCATTTTACTCTCATTTAAAAATATGGAACTATTTTGCTTTTTATATTCACCCATTGCATAATAAAATTTAAATTCTTGATCCAATCCTTTCCTATTTTCCCAGTGTATAGAATTCCACCTAACCTCCGATCTAAAGTACCATTTTCGCTTGACAACTAGAAAAAGACATAGGCCGAATGACTCCGATAGAAATTAAGACTAAATTTCAAGACTGCAGAACTGGATACAAATTCAAGATGTCGTCAAAATCAAGGACTGAGCCGACGTTATTAAAATAATCACAACTGACACAACCATAGCACAAAGCATTTTCAACGACGGCTTTACCAGTTTAATACCAGAATTACGCCCTCACAGTGTGAACAAGAAAAATACACTCATATCATTTGCTACAAATGCTATAAATTTGAAGATCACCCTACACCTTTGTGTGCCTTCACGACTCAATCCTCCGAGTGTGCAGCTGCGACACAATCCTCTGAGTAAGCATTTCACGACCAAACCGACACACAATCACACAATGCAGAAACGCGTTTTAAAATGTCTTAATTGCCAACAAGAACACAGAACAATCGCCGCCAACTGCCCATACAGAAAAAAAGCCAACAGAAGGAAATAACGAACAACACTAGACCAAGAATCACAGATGATTCAACACACATAGAATAGAATAGAATAGAAGTATCGGCGTTGAAGAAATAGGCCCATGGCCTGTTGCCGATTCTTGAACTTTTCGTGACTTGATTCACAAGGGAATCAACGATGCTATCAGGGAGGCTGTTCCACATGTCGGTGACGCGAAGCGAGAAGAAATGTTGTCGCATGGATGTGTTCCAACGCTGTTTTTTTTTCATGCCCCGAAACAGCTAAACAGGCAATACAACAAACCAACATTCCGCAAGTAAGCCTCCCTCTCAGAGACATCACAAAAAATCAAACCGAGAACAATCATTCTTGAAGCACATATAGCTAGCCTCATCAGACAAGAGGGCTTTGGTCCAATACTCTCCAAATCATTGAAAGCAAGCTACGAGCCTACGACATCAACGCGCATTCCTCGGCCGTGCCTCAGCAAAGATATTTAATTTTTAATATAACCACGACGAGAGTAAATCAGACTCAGACATTAACGACTTCAACCTCAGAAACGAATTAATGGACGACGAAGATATACGAGACAGTCCTCGCTAAATCTAGCAGGACCACAAATGGACAACGAAACCCCCAAGAACAATACCCTACTCCCGACAACCAAAACCCACTACGGAAACCGCGATCAAAGAAAGCGAAAAATAAGTGACGAGCAGAACAAGGAATCGCCTTTCTTAATGCCAGAACTCGACGAACCAATATGCATTCAATTATTGAGGAGTGAAAAAGACCCCAACCCAATTCCCTGATGTCCCCATCAGCACTTGGTACTTTGACGAATTAAGGAAAAAGGACCTTGGGCTAAAGCTTTCGGTGAATGACATGGACTCCTCCTAAATAATAGACTATTTGCGACGCAACAAACTAAAATTTAAAACACCAACAATGATTACTGTCCTCCACGTCATCTTCATAACCATGAACTGTGACAATTTCACACAATCGAGGAAGCCAAGGTAAAGAACTGATCATTCTAGGAACTTTTATGTTTAGTACAGCGGTGTCGGTGATCACTAGGCCGTTAGACCTGTCGTCCTTTCTTAACATCGCAGAATATTCGCACCTTGTTGCGGGTTTCGAAAAAGCAATTCACCGTTGCAATTGTGCCGGGTGCTTAAACGCACGGCCACCTCGATCCCAGCGGGTAGCTGGGATCGAACCTACAACTCACTGATCCAGTTTTGGTACTCTGAACTGTAATCACTGGGTCACCCTGCCCAGGTGATGAAATTGAAAGAGATTTTGGGCTCATTGATCACAACGGATTCAAGGCAGGAATTATCTGCAATTACAACGCCACTTAAAACGCTAATAGACTTTATTGGGAGATAAAGACGCGCGTTAAGACGGTCGGGGGAGCGTAAAGTGTGGACCTCGAGTCGCCGGCGACTCTACCGTCAGGAGCGCCGCGCCCCACGGAATATGAAGCAGGCCTGACCATCATGAGGGTAAATTTGTGCGAGTAGCCGAGTCCCTTGAAGGTCATCCAGTTGATGCCGTCGCCGGATATGCGGTGAGGGTATCGGTGGTAGCGGCCGTTCAGGTGCGACTCATGGCACGCCGTGAACCACCAGGCGCCGTGAAAGGTTCTGGCGCAGTGACTCATGGGGTTGTTGTCATTGTCGCGGTCGCTGAAGCTGAAGGGCGCCCGGGCGTGGTATTTCAGGGAGTTGCCTGCAGTGCCGTGATAGTCGCCGATTGTAGTGCGTGGTTCGTGACCTCGCCAGTGAGGTAGAAATGTTAGTATGCTGCCTTGCGCCGCTCCTCAACCCAGTCCTCCAGCTCGCTGCGGAGGACGTAGAATGCTCGCTGCGGAGGACGTAGAATCCTCGCTGCGGAGGACGTTCCCCCTAGAATTGTTGGCATTGCTCCGAAGAGTCCCAGATACTGAAAGAAAAATTTGACCTCTTACTAAAGAATTAACTGATCGGACACTACCTAAGTAATAGGCTACTCAAAAGTATGAATCAAGCAACAGCAAAAATATAAATAACTAAATCAACAAACCTAAGATTTTGGTGTTTCGCAGTGCTAATGCAGTTGGTAAGTGACAAATTAGAAATTTAGACTAAATCAGTTAAAGGAAGGTACTCTAGACGGAAAAATAGAGAACAGTTGGAGATTTTGGCGTTGGAAAATAGAAGATAAAGCTATTGAATCGTGGGTCACAGCTATAAGGAAACTAATTCCTCTGCCACTATCAGAGACCACGTTTACAGGTAATTCGAAATTTGAGATATTAATAATTAAATATTGATTTGTCTAGAGTACCATAGAAAAAATTGCATACAGAGCGTAAATAATTAAAAAAAAACATTCATACGAACATAAAGATAGAGAAAAGGTAGCCAGGAAGACGTTTAGAACTTCAGGAGATCCTGCTGTTGAGCTAGTTGAAGTAACTGGGTACTTAGTCCCGAATTGAATAACAATGTGGCTCTGAATGAGATAAGGCACGTTACGACATCAGCTGATTGAACGGTATGCGGAGGCTTATAAAGGAATTCCTACCTAGCGGATAGTGCTACCTACTTAAACTACGAAACCACACTGAATACAGCAAAACTATGAAGGCAACATAAACAAAAAAAAACGACATCTAGCCAACAAAATTTACGAAGAACGACAAAAATTATTGATGGTGGGAAAAATTTCCCACACAAAACTGGATCAAAATAAAAGGACATTGTCAAAATTAGACTCCATTCATGTAATAAAATCACAACAGACGCCACCCACCATAACGCAATGCAACGCAAACTCGACGATGTCTTCCCCATGTTTAACACCAAAATCACACCCACACATAATTGCGAACTGAAGAAATGGACAGACATTCTCATGTATTACAAATATTTCAATTTTGAATAACACCTCACCCACATGTATACCTCCAACACATATTGTTCCGAATGTGCATTCTTAGGCCACACCTACATACTATGCAACACGCACATAAAAGTCTTCAATTGCCTCCAAGAACTCAAACCACATTCAGCCAACTGCCATTACAGGAAACAAGCCACCATTAACAAACAAATTACACTAGACCATGACACATCAAACAGCAATTTAACTTCATAGTTCACATCCATATAAAGTCCACAACTGTCATACAATTCCTCGCCAACTGTAAATAGCACAATCGATACTCAATACGGATCCGTCACAATAAGATCAACATAGATCTCACCTCGTACAAACTACATCGACTTGGATAGGTCTTGTCTTCATTGGACAGGTCTTGTCCCGTTTAACAGTTAGCACATTTAAACGCCGGTCTCGGAACAGTAAGTAAAAGCCCCTCCAACCACAAAGGGAGACAATTACACTCGCTAAAAGTTCAATGCACATGTATCCACCACGGCCACTTCCTTCCAGCCCTCAATACTCGGATTATTACTCGCAACAGCACAACTTCACAAGCAGAGTCATATAGAACAACAGGGCATTTCATAATGTACACGTACAACCAGAACCCTTCACCCCCTCATACTACAGTGTCTTAATAGTCACGGTATGGTCGGTATCTGCTAACTGCATGCAAAAATGGCAAATACCCATTTGTCCGTGCAGATCCTTCCTCATAGCAGATTGGGCCTCATACAAACAAACTATCTCAACACCCATTACACCCACAATCCGACCCTACACTGAAAGAAATAAGCACGACTAGGTTATGAAAATGTAAATGATTGGAGATTTGATTAATTGTTACAATTTTATCATTGATAGGTAATTGCTTTTACTCAGTCAGGTTGCGTCTGTAGCGTGTTAGGCTTTACTGGGAGTATTCGTCTATACAAGTTCTCGTATAAAATAGGTTACAGCAAAATCGTACATATAGTGGGTTTCAATGAAACCCTGATAAATTTATTATTAAGTTGGAAAATTCAAGTCGTATCCTACATTAGCTAAAAACCTCTAGTACAGGGAATAGAAAATCCGAACATTAAAGTGGAGAATCTATCAGTATAGTCTCTTAAACATTCAAATAACAAGAAATGTTAATTCGTTGCAGTTCCGTTGAGTAGCAAGACTGTCGGAAACGACCGTAACTGCCGCGCACGTTTGCGGCCGTATTGCCAGTTGCCGTACCGCAGCCGTTGCCTCGTATCCTCGCTGTCCGCGGTCGTTCTATCTGTATAGCCTTTCGTGCCTCGCAGATATATATATATATCTCTCACGACGGTCAGTTTGGCCGTTTAATTACGACCGTACTTCTTTACGACCGATGGTGGTGTAGTCTTTATCGTCGATGTTACCTCAAGCTCATTGCTGTGCTTCTGCTGTTGATGACCGTGACCGTACCGCTATTGACGAAGACTGTGACCGTACCGCTACTGACGAACTCTGTGACCATATCGTGTTGATGTCCGTGCCGATGATAATTGTTGCTCAGTGCTCGCTCTTGAATGTGCTGATTGCAGAATCTATACTCGTTGGAGGCCTTCTTGTCTCTCGTGCCGTTTTAAGGCTGTCACAGCCGTGGCAATGAATGTTGACCGTACAAATAAGCGAAGTCACGGCGGTTACTCATCGATTTTTGACGTTTTCATATACGTGCGGTAGTGGTATAAACGTCTCGAAGCAGAACGGCTGTAATTTCTGACCCCGCTGGCCGACGGCAGGGGCCGTCACCTACGTCTGCAAAGATAGCTGCACACCGTCCTGGCGTGACGGTAACCCAGTAGAACAACATTTAGGCACGTATTTTAGGGTCCTTACATAGGCAGACGAGCACACATAAGCCTACCAAGCCACCACAGGACGCCGCGATAGTATCGAGTTCCACAAGGGTCAACCCTTTCGATACCCTCGGCCATTCCGAACGGGGAGCGTGCCGAAGGCCAGCTTCGCCCAACTTCACACTTTAATCATATTTCTTTCCGTGGGTAAGAACGTTAGAGGGAATATAAGCCTAAGAAGTGTTGTTCTTAAGTCGCACCGCCATATGTCCACAGCAACCGCTTAAGCATGCCCAAGTTGAGCGTGATCATCCTGCATCTGGCCAAACCCATTCCCGCCTAACCTCTTCTGGCCTAACCTACACACGTTGCAACATTTCACCCCCTAAAACGAACCTGCGAGCGAACCTAACCTAACCTCACTGGCTGCTGGACGCTAAAGAGGAGGGGCAAATGAGAAGGTAGAGCCAGTCATTGGCTGCAAGAAGGTTGTGAGCCGGGGCAGCGTGAATGGGTTAGGCCATAGAAGATGAGGCCGGATGCAGAACTGCCAGTTTATGAGTGATCATGCAGAAGTTTTGGCTGAAGACCTACAGCGCTATTATCTTTAGGCAGTATATCACTGATGCGGATTACGGTGTTCCAGCGTAGACTGCGGCTTCTATCTCCGAGGCTAAGTAAAATTATTGCGTGCTGAGGCTAAGCGTTGGCTCGATGGCTTATTTAATTAAGAGTTAAATTTGTTGTTCACGGCTGCGCCCCCTTCCGAACTATAAATAAATTTGCTCGCACGGTTTTTTACTCCATTTTACTCCAACTTTGCGGTCAAGTAACATCCTGCCTATAATTGCTTAACAACGCTCGGGCTGCATTCATAACTTTACACAAGCTATGCTTAATATAAAAATATAAACAATAGTCAGAATTACCTTCGCTTTCTTCGTATCCTTTTAATGTTTCTAAAAAAGGCTATTAAGCTACGCACATCAAGACTTTTCTATTTAATACTAAACGTATCAGCGTTTCATTGGAACCCTGTTTCGTACGATTTTTGCCGTACAGAGAGAGGTACGTATTGCCAATAAAGTACGTATTTCATACGCACCTTATTTCATACGTATACTCCGAGTAAAGCCGGAGACTACAGACGCAACCTGACAGACGCAACCTGACAGACGCAACCTGACTAAATTAAAGCAATTGCCGATCAAAGATAAAATTATAGCAATGAATCAAATTTTCAGTCGTTTAAATTTCCCTAACCTAATCAGGCACACATATAGACAATGGGACAAGAGACGCACAGAACGCAGCTGAACGCTGAACCTAGATTATCAAAATAACACACCGCATCATTCCTGGCATCAAACTCACCCACGGAACACTATTTATACTAACACGATATCGAGCAACTCTTCGAAAGTGCTGCATCCACGGTCCGTCAATAGCATTCAAAGGTAACTTCCTCACTCGACGCAAAAAATGAAGATACTTACACACACAGGCATGGCAAGGGATCATAAATACACTCGAAACACTTGAAGATCCCTAAAAATTTCTAGCACTCCCTAATGCGTATTCTAGGTTCCAACTTCAAACAAACCATCACATACCTTCAACACGATAATATACACGACTTACCTGAATAAAAGAACTGATATAAAAATATTTTGTGTCACGACATATTCACTTATAATAAATACATTGACAAAGAAGGTTGAGTTAGTTTAGTGGCCAAATGTTTACTAGCGCTTCAGCTATTTAGCGATCTCACACCGGAAGTCATGATGAACATATCACCAAAGCGGTGGAAGGAGGGACAGGCGAAACGCAACAGAAACGAAGACACTCGGGCAAGAGGTCGCTTACACGGGACGTCGGCCGCCCGCACGAGAGAGACCGAAGGGAAATGTAAGGAATCCTACCTACATAATAACTTAATGTAAGGA